TTCCCTTGCGGAGCGAACTTGATGCCTTTCAGGTTGGACAGGGCTTGTCGCACATCCCTTAAAGTCTTGATGTCGTCCTCTACCGCAGCCGTGAGCTGAGCAAGGGTACCCACAACTCTCACGCCCTGCTTCCGGTACTCGTCCTCCATGTCCAAGCTCGGCATCTTGATTGCAATCACCTTCTTCACACCGGCGTTCAACTTGGCGGTCGCGTCTTCGAACTTCTGAAGAAAATATCTTGCAAGCTTTTTAGCAACACCCTCCAGCCAAGGAACCGCATCCTTCAAGCAGCTCTTCTCAAAATCCGCCTCATTCGGTTGCAAACCGAAAGCATCACAAAGAAGATTGCCTGTTGAATGCAGGTCCACCACCTCCTTGTGCTTGTCATCGGTGCCTCCTTCATGGCCCACAACCTGCAAACACGCTCTTCTGGGGAAAAAGAGGAGCAGAGGACATGCTGAAAAAAGACTACGCGTTGCAACCAAACATCACACATGACACACACACACATATATATATATAAGTGTAAGTTAAGTGTTATCTGTGTATAAGTTATCAAAAAGTTATTTACTGCACACTGCAGACAATACAGGCTGCTGGTGAATTAGCTTGAAAGCACAGCCTGACCTGAAAACTTGACCCGATGTCCATTTCATTTCTGTGACACAAAAACCCCTCGCGTACCATAACTTGACAGAAAAAGGGAAAACGCCTTGAGAAACGCTGTGACGACAGGCTTGAGGCTATGCGCTTTCGGAATTTTCATCAGCAGCTGCTGCTGCAGGAGATTATCACACGCAGGCAGCGGTCCACCAACGCATTTCTTAACCACGTCAGCGACGGCATCTAATCCTGCTGAAAACAATGAGCCCTGGTGTTCTTCACAAACAGACAAGAATGTGACTCTCATAGAGGTGGTCAAATCAGCGCCAACCCATTCAAGCAACTTTTCTGGAAGCTTTTCCACCCAGCTTTTCAGATCCGTAGCGCTAACATCCACTTGCTGCTTTGCATTTCCCTTGAACTTCGGGCTTTGGAAAAAGACAAACTTGGCCATGGAACACAACTGAACTGACAAGCTTTCGTAATCCTGCAGCACCTTGCTAACTTGACCAGAGGCCGTCGAAGTAGCCCAAAACGAATGGGCAATGACGGCTGTGTGCTTCAAGCATGGCCAGATCTCTTCCAAATCGATCAGCTGCGCTTTTTGTCCAGTGCCTTCTTCTGTGACCATGCAGTCACTGTCCAAAGCATTGCAGAGATGACGCCTCAAAGTCACACGTTGAGAAAAAGAACGCCCTTCTACTCATATAATACCGGGGTCTGTGAAAGGTTAAGATTACAACTATGCCAAAGGCTTTTGCATTCTGATAATAGGCTGGAGTATACTGGATACTTAGTGATATGATGTGATTTACAATATTACATTAGTTTTCGGAATACCATGGGACTTTGAATAGTTCGCTGAAGGCGGACTACGACTTCATGTCTGCCTTCGCAGGGAAAGAAAATACCCCACAGACCGTGCATGACCTCTTAGTATATGTCTATATGATTCTATATATCAATATATATCAATGACAAAGAGACTTGAGTCACTTGTGTCCCGGGCAGTTCAAAGCACAAACTCAAAACGTAGAGCTGTTTTCCAGTCCAAGGAGCAACTGCTCAGAAAGGTTTGCTTTCAACTCCTGCAGCAAAAGTTCCCGCGCCCGCTCTGCGAAAGAGGCCTTGTATTCATTCAAAGCTTCCACCAGGCGATCATGCGCTCGATGTCGTTGTTTGCTCTCTGCTGCGTCTGCCTTCTCATGTTTTGCGTTCTTGCCTTTGGTGTCCTTGCCGCTCTTCAGACATGCGATGCTTTTCTGGCAATCACCAATAAGCTTGTCTACTGGTTCCAAATCGGCAGAAATGAGTTGGACACCGGCAACTGAGCCTGCGTAGCACACTGATTGCAATTTGGACACTTCTCCTTGCAAGGTCTTGAGATGTTCAGTGGCAACTGCTTCGGTCTCCCCAGCTCCAACCCGGCCAGTGGCCAAATCCACTAAGGATTTACCAACTGTGTGCTCCAGGAAATAAACCATAATAGCTCCTGGCTTTTCATCCTTTGCGTCGCCCTCCCTGAATGACTGAATCTCTTTGAGGGCGTCATTGGTTACTTCAATATCTGCAGAACTAACTATGCCAAAGGCAATCGTGCAAGCTTTGCCAAGGCCAGAAGCCAAAAAGTCAGAGCCATGTTTCTGACCGACGTCCATGACCGCTTTGCACAGATCAGCGCACTCTTGAAGATTGGAGGGCTCCTCAAGACCATTGACAACAGCTTGGACGTCGGTTGGCTTAATGGTCCTCAAAGCCAAAGTGAGGCGGCCTTCCATTTCTGCCATGACGTGGTTCTGCAGACTATCTTGGCCAATGTTCTCGGCAAGGCCCTTCATCAACTCAGAAGACCCCAAGAAGGCGGCGCAATACTTTTCGTACTCCTGGTACAAACAATGCGAGCCCGCCTTTGCAAAAGCGTACTTGAGTTGGAAACCTGCTCCGAGAGCGTTGCAGCCTAAGAGATCAACATGCTCGCTGGCATCCTCAAAGGCTTTGACAACAGCAGTTGGAGCTGAATTCTGCGCACCAGCTATCTGAAACAAGGCCTGGACAGCCACAGCAGCAAACTCCACCTTTTGCAGTTCCTCGAGCTCCCCTAAGAAATTGTCCTTGTTGGAACTCTTGTCCATGCGCTTGCCATAGTCTCGGGCTTGCCGGGCCAAGGCCTTGGCAACATTGGCTCTGTCTATGCACGCTTGCTTAAATTTGGTCTGAGCCTGGGCATCAGGCGCAGGAGGCGCATCGTCGACCCGAATGTCTGCCAGCTGGGACTTCCATTTGGCAACACTCTCCTGCAAATTCTTCAAGGCCCTCTGGGCCCGACCGTCTGCAAGCAGCGTCGCTGCGCTCTCTAAGCTTTGGTCGCTGCCGCTTTGTTGCAAAGCTTTTGTCCCTTTGCTGGGAACTTTGCTGGGAGCAGGCTCTGTCTTGGTGGTCTTCTTGGCGGCTGGCGCACTGGGTGCAGGGACAGGCACGACAGAAGAACTTGGAGCTTTCGACGGCTGCGTGCTTCCTTTAGCCTGAGGCTTCGCCGCAGGCTTGCCATGGGCTTTGGCCTTCGGCGGTCGGGGGGCGAACGAAAGGCTTGGGCGGGCCTCTTCCTCTTCTGACGCGCAGTCGCTGGTGGACTCCTCTTCTGCTTCATGGCTTTGAACCTCGCCGGAGGCGGAAACGGTGGAAACCGCCTCACCAGTGGAACCAGAAGATGGATCATGTCCCATTTGGATGGCTGCAAGCAAACCTTGCATGGACAATTCTTGGCCTTCCACACTGGCCTTGTCTCTCGTAGTGGAGCTTTCCACGAACTCGTCCATCATGGCTTTGCGTTTGCGGCCCAAAGCTTCTTCAGAAAAGGGAGCATCTGCTGAATTGTGCAATTGCTCTTTTTCTTGCAGAGCGGTGTCTTGGTACTCTTCAAAATCGTATTCACCTTTCTTCCCTTTCAAGATCCAGCAGCCCTGAATTTCTTTGCCGAAAATATGTTCGGTCACGACCTTGTTTGGGTCCAAGACTCCGTGCTCTTTTTCATTCCAATTGTCCTTATCCACAAACTTCTTCTTGGGAGCGATAAACCGACCGCCCACGTTGCGCACAACGTTGAGGGTCTTCTTGGCTTCAAGAAGGGACTTCTTGCTCTGCAATCTCTTGCAGTCGGGTCCTCCTTCATTGTGCTGCTTGATCCAACCCTTTCTTGCATTTAGGAACGAAACGTGCTCGGCCTGATTTTTTCTCACGGAGACCCAGTTGAAGTAGTCTTCAACTTTCTTGTACGTGGCCTGCAAACCTTAGCTGCAATGAAGAAAACATTTACGGCTACAGTTTCAGTAACAAATTACTACACTGTACGAAACAAAAGCTGCCTCCATCCATGGAAACCTGTCTGAATGTGAAAAGCTGGAAACAACGCCAGAGGCGAGGTGATAAGCATGCGGCAAAGAAACCGAGGGCTCTGTAGACGTTGAAGCAAATCAAGCCAAGCTTTCCAGAGGGCACACGAACTTGCTCTCCGTCATCCATTTTGACCTTCTCGTAAGATCTCCACGGGATTCTTCCCTGCACTTCTGGAAAAATATCCTCCGAATAATCCAGAGGTGACTGGTCAGTGGACTTGGCATTGCACAGGGTGCAGTGACGAGACTTTCTGGAAGTATAGGACACCCTCAAAGCGCCACCCGACGAACCCACAGACGAAGGCGGAGGTGGAGGAGCGCCGGATTCATCTGAGCTGGAAGACGAAGAAGAAGACACTGACTCCGCGTCAGGAGACATGGCGAGAAAATCCCCAAAGATTATTTCACGTCAATTATTTGGGCCTACAGGGCTACAAGGAGCGCCGTGTGAACAACGCCAGAGGCGAGACAAGCAAAGAAACAATCTTGACGCGCTCACAAAAGCAGTGACATAAATACAAACATGTTAAGAGAATTAGAACAATATTTGGGATATATTTGTAAACATTTGGAACATAATTTGTAAAAAAAGAGAAATGATTTTATAATATTTTATATATATTCATATATATTTATAATTATTTTTCAAAATGTTTTGACGGGTTTTTGTGTACGGGAAAGTACATTTTGGGTACGGAAAAGTAGGTTTTGTGTACGGAAAACTACATTTGTGTACGGAAAATAAAAAACAAAACATTCTACGATTGTTTTGACAAAAACATTAAAATATTATCAAAATATATAAATTATTTATTTTTTTCTTAAATATTTATCTAGTCTATTTATTTATCGTTACCATTTTTGTTACAAACATTTGCTGTGTAGAAATTGAAGCGCAAACATATATTATATATATATATATATATTATATAATATATCATATGTCGTGTGATTGATTGTGGGCACGCTGACGGCTGCTGAGGCAGGCTGACAAAAGCAACCTTTTTATTCCTGATGGCTCACCGCTCTGTCTAAGTCTTCCAAACTCAGGCCTTCAGCGAAATGGGACAGCTGAACGCCGCCCATGCTAACATGGCTCTCTCGCTTGTTGGCGCCCCACCTGCCGGAATCCAACCCGGCGACAAGCCAGCGCTTCAAACGAAGCTTGCACTCCTCAGGGGTCAGGCCTCCGCAAGACATGGCTTTTTTGCACTGCAGCGTTGGGTTGGCGGAGTCATGGTGCATGCCGCAAATCGCACCAAATCCTGTGGGCTCCGCACTGCCTGCTGCATGGATGGGAGCGATTTGAAATGCTGGGCTGGAGCCCCAAACATGACCGCGTCTCACGTTGCGGCGTCGTGGAGCAACCGACGCCAGAGGCGGGCAGGAAGGAGGAGGGTCAAGCGACAAGTCAACCTCAGCATCGTCTACATCAGCAACAGAGTCCTCGTCCGACTGCGAAGAGCCTCCGTCATCAAGCGCGTCGTCACGATCTCCATGCATGTCTGGTCTGTTTGCTCTCTCCATTGCGCCTTTGGCAGCTTTGCCCTTGCCACGTCCTTTGCTCGGTCCCTGCCGCTCTCCACCTGCCCTATGGCTGCTGGATTGGCTTGCAGCCATTTTTTTCTTCTCCATTTTTTCAAAGCATCTAAAGCCTTTTTGGTCTCTCTGGCGCTTCCAACTTCAAGCATCAGGGCTACGAAATCTACACGCTTAGCAGCTACAATATGGAAGAGATGAAGGTCTGTGATAGAACCAACAGAGAGAACAAACAACTCCCAATCAGTCGCTTGGCTTGCCAGCTCGACACACATTGGCACGTCCCCGACCAAAGGAAATTGTCCATCTACGCCTGTCTTGCATGCCAAACTTTGAAGAAACTGATGCGGAACTTCAGATGGAGGGAGCGGACGCAGAGCGATGAGCGCTGCATCAATGGGTTTCTTCCGCGTGTTGTAAGCAACAACAACTTGGCGGGACGCCGCAGCTCTCTGAGAACAAAATTCCAGAACAAGCGGCTCCTTTGATGCAACCGTGGGATCCGGGCTTTGGCTGCCAATCACTAGCACCAACATTTCATGCAAAGACCAGAAGCATTCTTGCTGGGGGGCCGTCAGTTCATGAGGGCAAGCTCCAACCTGGCACGAGGCCCACAATGAAAAGGGCACTGCTGGTGCGCCAGCAAAACTATTTGGGCTCTCAGGAAGCAGCGAATCAGTGGAAACGCGGAAATTTCTGGCATAATCTTTCAGAGAATGCAGATGTTCTGCAACGATCGATTTGGCCATTGGGAAGCCAGTGCTTGCACTCATATTCCAAAAGCCGCCAGTAAGGGCAGCAGACTCTTGGGCAGCCCTTGCGTCGCACCTCTGCAAAGTTCTTGCCTGCAAGTTAGCAGCTCTAGCCAGCGCGGCAAAGCGCCTCCTCTCTGCACGAGGCTGCAAGCGCCACTGACGAGCCAAATCATCGGAAGGATTCAAACCATTTTCTCTGGCAAACATGTGCAACCCATTGCGACACCGTCCTTTGCGTACACCATGGGCCCAGTCAGGCCTACATCGGTGACTCTTGCCTTTGCGGATAACACCAAGCTTTCGAGCTTTGGCCCGCCAGTGATCTGTCAGGTGTCGAAAATGATACACAGCATTTTTTGCGGCAAGCGTGGACAGTTGAGGTTTCGGCCCCTTACGGTCACACCATCTGCTTAGTCTAGCAAAAGCCCGCTCAATGCAGGTGGACGTTGGCACCAACCGGTCAAAGACAGAGGCTAAAAACTTCAAAGTTTTGGCAGCCACCAGGCCACGAGGATCCTCCACCACTGTCTTGAGCTTTGCACTGAAGCCATCCAGGCAGCAGTCACGGACCCGAAAGAAATCTTGTGCAGCTTGAAACCTCATGGCCTCTTCCATCAGTGGCAATTCCACGAGCTTCCAGGGGTAACGTTTCCATGGTTCAAGCAACTTCCTGTACAGCTGGCCAACCTCCGTAAGCAAGCAGCGCCTGGTGCTTCGCAACCTCCTCTGCGGCCACGAGAGCAGAGGCCCATACAAACCAACCAAAGGAATCCAGGCGTCAACCTGGACAGAGTCCAACAGCGAAGCGATCTCAGAACTGGCTCGGGCAGCTGGACTGGCTGCTGGGTTGCTAAAAAAAATGAAAGGTTTGCGTCTGTCTCATCTTCAACGCGCTCTGTGAGCCAAGTTCCCCGCTTGAACAAGGAGTAGTGAACGGTCATGACGCAGAACGTCACAATGCCCCAGAGCATTGTCAAGAAACGGGACTCTTGATCCTGCAAAAAGAAGGCGGCCTTCTGTTGCCTCTTTCTAGCTAGCTTCCTCCATTGTTTTGTCTGGTCTCTGGGAACCCCCAATGCAGCGTCTTCACCCCCAGAGTCGTCGCTGGACTCTTCTGCTTGGCCGCGTGCAAAACACCGACCAAAGGCCTGCGGGACGACGTCGTAGCACTGCTGCATCGCTGCGACCAAGGTCATAGACGGCGCTACGGTCGTCCACTTATTCAACGCCGGGATTGTCAGCGCATGTAGAAAAACTTCTTGAAAAAGGGCCGCCGCTCGATCCACGGACTCCAGTCTGCTAGCGCAGCACCCGGAGCAGATGTGGCAAGGCGGTCCTGACAGGGAAACAAAGAAGCAACCAGCACCATTCTTTGATGAAACTGAAAACTGCAGTTGTTGAACTTTCTACCTTTAAAAAAACACAACTGAAAAAAACCTCTGCATTCTCACTCATGCTTTTTTTTTCACGCTCGCAAGCGGAAGATCTGGCAATTTGCCAGAGGAAGTCGGCTGGACGCGGGACGCTCTGCAAAACCAGGCCACAAGGCTGCACAACACAAGTTTCAGATACACATGCTCTACTGATTTAAAATGTGCAAAACAATGCGACAATTCGCCAATAATACTCATATATGACCTAATATTGATTTGCTTGTGCTGCCCGCAAAACAGGCCTACGGGGCAAAGGCGTCTATGGTCTGAGAAAGCTGTGAGACCGTTCCCCGCATATCCAACCTGGCCAGAGGCCTGCTCACAAATCCATGTCCCTGCTGTACCAGGGGTTCTTCTCCAACCACTGTGTGTTGGAATCCCGGCTGCGATACCCCGCACGTGGCGGGAGAAGAGGACGTGCGTTCCACTGGTTCTGCAGGTACATGGCCAAATCCACGTTGCACCGCAGTGCCAGATCAACCTGCAAATTTCAAACTGCTGCATCGACACCGTCAAAAAAAGAAACAACACAACCAAAACTAAAACAATATAACCCAATTAATAACCTTAACCCAGAAACGCAGCCAGCACCGCGACCATTTGGCGTGTTCAGCATGGAAGTAACCAGGCCGAAGGCCGCCAAGTCTGCCCTGTTTTTGTTGTACACAGCGTACAGGATCTGCTTGGTGGCGTTGAACATGCCTTTGCTCGTCGCCATGTGCAAGGCAGAAGTCCCATTGGCACCCCTGGCCTCGATGGTCGTCAAACTGGTCTCCTGTAGCAAACGCGCCAGCATGTACCTGAAGGTCTGTGGATCCCGCGCCTGCCCCGCATCGATCAAGATCATCAGGGGAGACCAGTGTGCAGGACGACCAACTGGCGACGTCATCTGGTCACAGAGCTGAGGATTAATCTGCAACATGCGGTCCATGACCTCCCAGCAGCCAAGGCGCGCAGAGAAGTGCAAGAGGCTCATGCCCTTCTTGTCCCTGAGCAGCAGGGCCTGGCTGGCAGCCATATCATCAAGCATTGGCAACACCGCCAGAGGCGTAGGACCCATGAGCGCCGCAAAGATCCTTTCCTGATTCTCGCTGAATGAATCCTGCCTCGAGGACTTCGCCAAAAAGGCGTGGCTATGCAAGCGCTGTTCTTCGAGCAAGCGCAAGACCCGCTTCATCACTTCTTCGGATTGCTCACTTTCATCCGGTTTCAGAGGTGAGGGGGCTGGTTCTTCTGGCTCGGGGTCGTCTGGGTCGTAATCTGGCTCAAAGGGCTCCTCAGTGCCTCACAAAAATAGCAAGACATTCCAGTGAATTTTTAAAAAAACTCTGCACATTTTCAACTATTATACAACAATTTGGACCTATACGCTTTAGCCTATAAGCCTAAAAGCTTACAACTTACAAGAATGTTCCCATATAGTAACACAAAACAATTGATGACTATAATTGACTATAATTATGATATATTATATTCTTGCTAATTACTCGTTTAAGACCCAGCTATCAGTTGAAAACCCCAAAAAACAAACAATAATGAATAAACTACAACCTAGAAACTGGATGCAGCCACAACCTTGGCCGGGGAAGCCGCACCCTCGTCGACATCCATCTTGTCCATCTTGTTCTCGGCTTTCACCTCATCCTTCTTCGCTTCCGAAGGCGGCTTTGGCATAGCCTTTTGCTGTGGCCTGGAGGTCTCTTTGGGGTGCAGGAGCTTCAGCATCGAGGCATTGAGGGTCTGCAGGTCGTCACACAATGAAGTCAACTTTGCCGCTCGCTTCTCTTTCGTATCCAAATCATCATCAACCACTTCAAACTCGGCAAAGTCGTCCTCTGCCTCAGACTCCTTTCTTTTGCCAGGTGAATGGGACTGCGCGGGTGGATCCTTTGGCTCAGGGACCTGGCCAGAGGCCACAGAAGACGAGGTCAAAGACCCACCTTCTGAACTCAAGGTGGTTCCACCTAGGACATCCTCTGCAACCAACTCAACCTCCTTGGCTGTTTCCTGGCCACTGGCACTGGCCGGATCCGTCAGAAGCTCAAAAGACGAGTAACCAGAATCTCGTCTGATAGCCTTGGCAGGCTTGGCCTTAGGCCTGGTCGAAATGGATTCGAAACCCAGGTCCAGCATTTTCTTGCGGTATGCCACAGGCGTGACAATGTCATTCACTGCAAGGCCGTAGTGTCCATCCAGGATCGTCTCCTGGTGCTTCTTGAGGAACTCGGACGGACGAACCGGATGCCTCCTGTGAGCAGACGGAGGCGCTACAGAATTTAGATCCACGCAGTTTCGAAGAGTGCAGATGTAATTTTCTGCTTGCTCATACGGCCACCCAGTGAGTCGCATGATCAGAACGCACGTTTCTGTCGCGCTGCGATGAGCTCCGTTTCTGCATGAACTTAAGACCCCGTGGCCTTTCTTCAGCAAGTCCACAACCTGGTCAGCGACCTTAAGGAACTTGGACAAGTCGTAGTCCTCATTCGCTAAGGCCGTCCCGTCAATGTAGTCAAGGACCACGTGGTTGAGGCTCTCAGCCGGGATAGGAGTGCGCGAAGCTGGCAACACGACAGAAATGCCGTTTTTCTCGAGCAGACCTACGTCTGTGCTGGCCTGCTCACCTCCAAGCCAAAGCCTGCCATTGCAACCAGGCACGGAGGCCGACATATCGACCATCACATGCATCGGGTGCCTGATTGGTAACTGCTCAATTCAAAGACAAAAAAAGGACAAGGTACACAAAACAAAACATTAACTGGAGACTAACTTAACCATTAGTGTTTAACAACAAACAGATGGCCTGGCATTGTAGGCATCTCGTGCCCATCGATAGGCTTCAACGCCACCATAGGTGTCAGCCACGAGGATGCCCTTGGACTTGTTCAAGGCGGTAGTCAGGCTCAAAGGGTTCTCGCGGAGATCAGAACTCGGCCAGAGGCCAGCCGCAGTCTGACATCGCAAGTCACCTGGGTGGAAAATGGCAGACAGACCATAATTCGCCACGACGTCGGTTTCTGTAGGCCTCCCTACCTTCTCCACCACCTTGACCACCATGAGACACAGAGTCGTGGAAGCTGGCTCGACCGCGAGGGAAATTTGAGCAAGCAAAAAAGGCTGCTCCAAAAGCACATCAACTTTGCAACATTTAAACACGCTGCACACTGCTCTCTGCATACGTCAGGTCAAATATGGTACAGAAAAACATAACATGAATAGAATATTAATACCATATATATATAATTATATTATATTTATATAATCATATGCATCATCTATTCTTTGACGCTTCTACCATCTTCTACCACCTATCAAACCTGGTTTGAAACCGCAGCACTAAAAAAACGCAACAACTGCTCCAGCGTCCGTTAATTCCCCAAAGTCACTGGCCCGAGCCCTCCCCAGCAGTCGGTCCTGTCCAAGGGCTTGCGAAGAAATCCAAAAATCTTTGGCAGGCGCCGCTGGCTTTGTCGTCGTCGCGCCCTTGCAGCACAAGCTTAAAGATAGCTTTGGCACACGCTTGCCCAGCGGCCCACTCTTCAACAACGCCTGGAGGAACCCGGTCAAAGACCTGAAGATTCTCTGCCAGCACGTCTCGAACGTGACCAGCTAGCCTTTTCACAACGCTGCCGGAACGTAATGTCTTGGCCACAGAAAAACTTCCGGTCAACACGCCCAACAGCTTAGTGACTCGCTCGATGACATTCCCCGTTCTGTGTTGGAGACACAAGAGCGGGAGAAGCAACGTCCTTTGGTCCAGGACACTCTGCAGGTGCGAGAGGAGCTTGATGTTCGCTGGAGCCGCGTCGCAGGTAACCAGCACCGCCCTGACCCTGGCTGCCACTGCGGACAAACCCGGCCAGAGGCCCCCCTCGCCTGCGCAGAGTGCGGGCCACATAGTGGTTGCCTGTTTGTTGGGAAGGGCCGCAGGTGCGCGGATAAAATCGAAATCATGCGTCTGGTCATTGACACAGAAAGTCATCTGAGCATGAGAAGCAAGGATCGACCAGGACCCGAGTCCAAAGGACTTCAGATTTATTTCCAGCTCCGTCTCATCAAAGATCATGTTGGTCAGCGCAAAATCAAACATCCCAACATCTTTCAGCGCCTCCTCGAGGAATTTGGACAAGCCATCCCTTTGTCCCCGCATGATCAATTCAGAGGCAAAAAACTTGCAATCGGCGGCATGACTGGCGCTGCCTCCATCCACTTGTTCGGCGACATGTCGTATCACCATATTCTCTTTGGCAAAAGCCGCTCTGAGAACCGCATCTGGGGTCCATTGCTTCCACTTGCCTTTTCCTCTTGGGGTCTGCCTTTTTGCACTTGAAGAATCTGGTATAACAAAATCTTTGGTGCGATTTCGGCCAGTGCTATTGGCGTGGGCAGCTTGCTTTCGGAATGCTGCGGATCGCAAGGTCTGACAGTTTTGCTTCGTTCCGAGCAATCGTAGCAAAGCGCCTTTGCTTCTACGGCGCAGAGGCAAACCCGGCCTGGGGCCAGCCTGGTCGTCAGGAACTGGCTGCACGCCAAAACCGGGCCTGAGGCCAGCTGCCTCTGGAGCTGGCAGGTTGCCCCCATATTGCCTGGCAATCTCAACTAAATGTTGATCATCCATGGCCTTCACTGCTTGTCTGAGCTCTTCTCCTTTTTCTCAAGCTTTTTTTTGCGACGGTTCGCCTTGGGCAAGGATGGGTTGCTTGGGGGAGAGAGCAGGACATGAATCGAATGCTCCCAATCACAACGACAATCTTTTGCAAGTGCCTTTGTTGGTGCCACATCAGGGTCATCGAGCCACGGAGTAAACAAGACGTCCATCAGACAGAGGTAACAGTAGCGAGTCGACATGATGGCGACAGCAATTTAGACACTTGAAAATCTTGAGCCCAAAACTGCATCTAGGAGATCAAGACCAGGTGACAACACCAGCGCGGCAACACGATCATGTCACAACGCACAACCAGGTCCAAGACCGTCAACATGATTTGAAAAAATCCATCAAATACAGCTTCAATGAAACGTGCAAAGCTCATGGTGCAGATGCAATTGCAAAAACCAGCTCTGATAGTAGATCACAACGATGCGAAATGGTGAATGATATAATATAAGAACAACAAAGTGAAACTGTTGAACATGTTTTGATTACAAAAAAACACATCAAACAAATGTACTGTATTGTGATGAAGGACAAGAAACCAATTCTCATACGCTTGTTCTAAAATAGTGTGTATTCAAGAAACAATGTTCACACATTGTTCATAAAGATTGCTTTCAAAGATCTTTGGTAAAAACAATGTTTAAACAATGTTCATAAAATTGTTTCAAAGATCTTTTTGATAAAAATAATGTTTAAACAATTTTCATAAAATTGTTTTCAAAGATTTTTTGACAAAAAACAATGTTTAAACAATTTTCGTAAAATTGTTCTGAACATATTTTGAATAAAAACAATGTTAAAACAATTTTCATAAAATTGTTTAGAAATATCTTTTTGATAAAAAACAATGTTCAAACAATTTTCATAAAATTGTTTTAAAAAAAACAATTTTCAAACAATTTTCCAACAATTTCAAACAATTTTCAAAACAATGTAAGAATGTTTTGTCGGTTTTTGAAACTGTTTCTCTCACAGTGGGTCTTGCGAACATTCAA